GTACAGAGGGGTTACAATTGCATGGGCAGGATAATGCATACATTTCTTACCAAGCATTGCAGCCTCCTCCTTTGTTTACCCTTCACATCACTTCCTAGCCTCCCCCCTCCCCCCGCAGGTTATAGTTCTTAAGGTTTTTAGTATGTCAGGGTCCTCAGCCCTGGCTGAACATACAATCATCTGTGATGCCCAGACATCATCATAGCTCTGTTTTCAAAGAAACAGGCCTATTATTATTACCTCTTAGTTTATAAATATGTAGCACAGTACCAGGCCCAGTGATTATTGCCATCATTCTCATCATTTATTGACCCTTACCACTGAGAACAAGTCCAGGCTCTGTTATAGACAAGTATCTTAGAGTCATGAGAACAGAGTCAGAAAATAACAAAAAACATAAGTAAACTGAGCAGCTATCTTGGGCTATATGAATGAAGCCAGGTCACTTGTATGATTCAGTGGACTGATAGATATTGCTGTATAGTTACTGATGTTTATAATGATGAACTATCAAAAGTTACATGTGTTCATTATACTGTATTTAAGAAGCCAAAGAAAAGTGATATTAGGGAGATTCCTATTCAAAATGTTTAATGGTAAGAGTACTAATAGATATATGTACTAAATCTGATTGGAAAACTCAGTCATATAGAATAAATAATTCATTTGCTTGAATGTTCTTTATAAGTGAGATTTTACTTGTAAGAGTAATCAGATCATTAGCTTATATGTCTGGCCTTTGTTTAAAAATTTTGATTGTAGCTTCTGTGTTCTTTCCTTTGTTATATAAGTATTTGCTTGTAATACAAGCGAGCACTTAAGAAATACTGATTATAAGACAGGCATGGTGGTATATTTCTATAATCCTTGTTACTTTTGAGTCTGAAGCAGGAGGACTTGACACCGAGTTTAAAGCCAGCCTGAGCCTTAGTCTCAAAAATAGTCTCAAAAAATAAGGTTGATTTAAGGTGGGTGCCAGTGGCTCAGCCTATAATCCTTAGCTACTTAGGACTCTGAGATACAAGGATTGAGGTTCAAAGGCAGCTTGGGCAGGGAAGTCTGTGAGACTCAGTTAACTACCAAAAATATGCAAGTGGAGCTGCTGTGGGGTGCTAGCTTTGAATGAAAAAGCTTAGGGACAGTGCTCAAGCCTTGAGTTCAAGCCCCAGGACTGGCACAAAAAAGATTGATTCATTTTTTTCCCCTCCAAATGTATCCTCCTCTCCTAATCCTTACAAACTGTTCTTCTGGATATTATTGTGCAGTCCTATAATCCCAGTACTTGGAAGGCCAAGGCAGGAGGATAATGAATTTGAGACCAGCCTAAGCTATGAAGCAAGGCCTTCTCTGAAAGCAAAACAAGAAGACTATCATTTGAGCATGGGAAGTAAGGAAAAAGAAATTTTCTTAAAAACTCATAAAAATTAAAGGGTAATTCTATAGAAATTAAGAATACCCAGGCGATAAAGTGTGTGATTCATTATCTCCAATTAACCACCAGAAAAACAGAAGTGGAGCTGTGGCTCAAAGTGGTAGGGCACTAGCCTTGAACAAAAAGAGCTCAGGGACAGCGCCCAAACCCTGACTTTAAGCCCCATGGCCAACCAACTAACAAATAAGTAAACAAACAAATAGAATTTTCTTACTCACCAGTGGTGGTAGTTCAGGACTGCATTCCTAGCTACTCAGGAGGCTGAGATCTGGACTCAGGACTGCAGCTCAAAGCCAGCCTGGGTAGAAATGTCTGTGAGACTCCATCTCCAAAACAACTAGCAAGGGCTGGGAAGGTGGCTCAGTGGTAGAGCACTTGCCTTGTATGCCTGAGGCCCTAGGTTCAGTTCCTCAGCATCACATATGCAAAAAGAGAAAAGCTGGAAGTGGCACTATGGCTCAAAGTGGTAGAGCCCTAGCCTTGAGCTGAAGAGCTGAGGGACAGTGCCCAGGCCCAGAGTTCAGGCCTCACGACCGGAACCAAAAAAAAGAACCAAAATAACTAGCAAAAAGTAGTGATAGAGGCATTTCTCAAATGGTAATGCACCAGCTGAGCAAAGTGAGGCTCTTGAATTCAAACCCTGATATCAGCAAAACAAAATAAAACCGAAACCAAAAGAATTTACTTGTTTATTATTTTTCTTCTTTTTTACATATACCACTTCTATTTCATTGAACAATGATTGTGATTGCTACAATAAACTTTTATTTCTTATAGATCAACGATACAGTAAACAGTGCAAAACCTGAACATACATCTATGAAAGGAACTTCAGTGAAAAACAAACCAGATTTCAAAACGACAGATTCTAATGCCATTTTACATCCGTCGTTGGCATCTAATGCTTCTAATCACAGTAGTTTTATGGATATGCTCAAGAAAAATGAAGGTATAAGGATGACATTTTAACTAAAATTAAGCTTTTATAATATTGGGGAAATCTAGAACCACTGAAAAGTAAATGTTACATGGTTTGGATCTATTTCCTCCTTATTGAAGCTAGTTAGGATAATATAGGTACCTAACCTGAAGAGTCTGATAAGTTGTGAGTGTGGATTGAAATGAGGAAAATTCCTATATGACATTTGAGGTTAACCTATATGTTTAGTGTCACTAATTCCTTTACTTAATTTGTATTCTAGCACTTAATAATTTTTTACATATTAATTATACAAAAATATTTCATTATATTTCCATAAATACATGTGATGTACTTAGATCAAATTTGTTCCCTTTATTACTCTTTATATCCTCTTACTCCACCATTTTTTTAAAAAACAATTTTGATAGATTTCTTTTTTTTTTGTCGGTCATGGGGCTTGAACTCTGGGCCTGGGCACTGTCCCTCAGCTCTTCAGTTCAAGGCAAGCACTCTACCTCTTGAGCCTCAGTGCCACTTCCGGTTTTCTAGTGATTTATGGTAGATAAGAGTCTACAGACTTTCCTGCCCAGGCTGGTGTTGAACCACGATCCTCAGATCTCAGCCTCCTGAGTAGCTAGGATTACAGGCGTGAGCCACCAGCGCCCAGCTCCATTTTCACTTTTCATATATTTCTTAGCACTTACAACTGTTTGAAGTTATTTATTCTGGGCAGAAATCTTGCCTATCTTGGTTTATTTCCTGAGCACTCAGGTCTGTGTCACTTGGTAAACATTTGTTTAGCAATGAGAACTGGGTTATCTTCAGAAAGATAGTTCAGTTGTTACAACTGTTGATTAGCCAGTTGTATACATGAGAATCTTACAATTTGGTGATGTTTATATTTGAATATTCTGATGCCATTTGAGATACTTTAAACAATGCCTCTGATTTCATTATCTGAAATTATGCATCTCATTCTATTCTCATTCTGTGACTATTTTCAGTTCGAAAAAAATGACAGATTATATAAATAATTTTTAGGGATTCAAAGTTGACAGTATGAATATTCTTTTGCTATACATTTTTATGAGTCTATAGTATGTAAAATGGGAAGAACTTTATATAATTTCATTTTTTTGCATTACTTTCAGAAAAGGGAAGTGCTTTTATTGACTTGATATAAGGGAATTACTTGGTTGAATTTTTAAAAGCTTGCTCTTGGTCTTAATTTCTCACAGCTATTTTCTTTCTTTTTTTTTTTTTTACTCTTTTTTTTTTATTGTGAAAATACGTACAGAGGGGTTACAATTACATGGGCAAGATAATGAGTACATTTCTTATCAAGCATTGTAGCCTCCTCCTTTGTTTGCCCTTCCCATCCCTTCCCATCCTTCCCCCCTCCCCCCTCCTACCCAATCCTCTTCTCTCCCCTCCCCCCACACCCCACAACTATTTTCTATATATTTGTCTTACAAAGAAATTTATATTACGAAAACATACAAGCTTTGAGATTTCAGAATCTTTTTTTTTTTTTTTCTTTTTGCTGGTCGCAGGGCTTGAACGCAAGACCTGAGTACTGTTCCTGAGCTTTTTTGGTCAAAGCTAGTACTCTACCACCTTGAGACACAGCACCACTTCTGGTTTTTTGGTGGCTAAGTGGAGATAAAAGTCTCATAGACTTTCTTGCCCAGGCTGGCTTTGAACAGCAATTCTCAGATCTCAGCCTCCTGAGTAGTTAGGTATTATAGGCATGAACACTGGCACCCAGCTGAGATTTCAGAATCTTAATGCACTTTAAATCTTGGATTTAAAGTTTGAATAAAATTAATATTATACAAGTGGTTGAACCAGAGGAGTTGTCGAATAGCATGTGATACATCATAGACACTCAGCTGTGTCATAGAATGGCTACCCAGTCTCAGGTTAACAGGAGTTTGACTTTTTCTCTGCAGATTAGAGCAGCTGCCAGAGTGTTTCCAAAAGTAAAGAAGCAATAAGAGATAAGAATAAGAAAAATATTTGGACGATTACTTAAAGAATTTTTAGGACTCCATTGGATGCATAAAGACTAAAGCAGTAGGTGGAATGGAGTAGAGAAAAGACACCACTGAAGAGACTTTTTAAAAGTTTCATAATTACACTGCTTAGATATAAGTGACAAAATCAAGTTCAAGGCCCCTGCTTCTGTAGTATTTACAATATATGTACTCTTTATTTTTACATTTCTGTTTCTAGCAAATCATTGCTCTTAGACTCCAGAACTAAGTACCCAACTGTCTACTGGAAATGTCCACCAGTATGTTCCTCACTTATCCTAAGTTGAACCTTTTTCCAAATCTATTTTTGTCCCTGTACCAGAAGGTATAGGATATTCTTTTTTTTTTTTTTGTCGGTCGTGGGGCTTGAACTCTGGGCTTGGGCTCTGTCCCTGTGCTCTTCAGCTCAAGGCAAGCACGCTATGGCTTGAGTCACAGCGCCACTTCCAGTTTTCTAATGATTTATTGGAGATAAGAGTCTCATGGACTTTCCTGCCCGGGCTGGCTTTGAACCGCAATCCTCAGATCTCAGTCTCCTGAGTAGCTAGGATTACAGGCGTGAGCCACCAGCGCCCGGCTTAGGATATTCTTTTTTTTTTTTTTTTGGGTCTGGTCGTGGGGTTTGAACTCTGGGCCTGGGCGCTATCCCTCAGCTCTTCAGCTCAAGGCTAGCACTCTACCACTTGAGCCACAGCGTCACTTCTGGCTTTTTTCTTTTTGCTTATGTGGTGCTGAGAAATTGAACCCAGGGCCTCGAGCATGCAAGGCAAGCGCTCTATCACTGAGCCACCTTCCCAGCCCAGGATATTCTTGATAAAGAGTTATTGGTCATTCTCATGTTCAACTAAAAAAAACTAGGGGTCAATTATTCAACTTGATTTTATCACTCATATCCAATCACTTCTCTCTGTCCTGGGTTTTCAGGTGGTAGTTTCTAGCTAGCTCTCAGCTCATAAATAATATCTTCCAAATAAACATGTATCTTCCTTGACCCACAAGTACCTTCCAGTTACCATTCCCCATCACTAATTCTCCTCATAGCAATTTCTATTTCACTGACACTTCCAAAATTTGGATTCCATTACACTAATGTAGTGGCTCTGGTGAACACCAATGAGTTCTCCAGGAGACTTTTCAGTTTTTACTTCATCTTTCTTCATTGTAAATAATACCAGGCATATATGACTTTTGTGGTTGTTGGTTTGATTTGGTTTTGGTACTAGGTATTGAATCCAGGGCCTCTGCTAGGCAAATAATCCAAGGCCTCTGCTAGGCAAATCCTTTGCCACTTGAGTCATGGTTCCAGCCCTACATATACTCCCTTTTGAAGCTATTTCTTTCTGTAACATATTCATTTATTCTACAATATTGAAAATCTATCAGACATCATCCTTGTTTATACTACAGTGAAGCAAAGCAATCAGGGTTAATGCCCTGTGAACCCTTGTCTTCTTTAGTAAAGAAGTCAGGACATTCTCTAAACAGGAGAAAAGGCAGGTAGGGTAGCATGTGTATCATATATACATATATGATCAGACACACACACACACACACACACACACACAAATACACCACATTCCTAGTTAGGGACAGGACATGACAGAAAATTAAGGGAATTTATGCCTGACAACTTCCATTTTGTCCTTCAGAAATAAGAATCAAAGCCATTTGATCTATGATTTAGTAGAGAGCAATGGTTCTGTGTTTATAATAGAAGAGGAAACTGAGAAGCTAAGACATTGCTTGTGGATGTTATGTACTTTCTAAACACTTAATGTCAAATAGTTAATTCATACTCATGCCATTTTCAGTGCTCAGGATGCTTCTTTTTTTTTTTAAAGGTGATAGGAAAGTTTATTAGAAAAGAAATATGGCAAAGAAAGAGAGCACATGGCATAGATGTGCCACAGGAAGATAGAATTTCAGCCTGTTTCCGCCTTTCATGTTAGGATTTCTTAGAACTGGAAGTACCAAGGAATATATGACAAAACAAGAAGATACAGTAACACCTCCAGGAATTACACTAATATGATGTTTCCCTTTAACTCAGGTCCTCGCACTTCAACAAATGTAGGTGCACTAAGTAGTTGCCTGGACTTGAGAACAGTAATCCCTGAGACTTCCATATCCAGTACTGCTTCCAGCGCACAAACTATGGTAACCCAGCAGACCATTAAAACTGAGTCATCCAGTACAAATGGGGCACTTGTTAAAGATGAAACTTCACTAACAACATTCAGTACGAAATCTGAAGGTTTGAAATGTGTTTCACATACTGTATTTTGAACCATTTATGTTTATACATTAATCCAACTAAACAGTCTTAGGCGAGAATTACGTTTCGTCTTGGATTGAAACATACAAGCAGATAAACATTTCATTTAAAATCATTTTATCAAGTATTATTTGATGCCTTACATAAAATATTTAGCACATACTTTTTTTTTCTTAGTAAGGATCTAGACTGGGAGTTAATGATTCACTCAACTTGATTGATTTCTAACTTTCAAAATTCTTGTTCTATTGCTAGAATAATTGTATTTCAACTTTGGTAAACTTTCTCTGAAGGCCTAGCTCTTTCTGAAAATGAACTTTATGAGTTTATTTGAGTGAAAAGGTCTATATTTTTTCCTTCTGGCTATTTTTTTCTCAGAAATTTACTAAATTTTTTTTGAGCCAGTACTGAATCTGAACTCAAGGCCTGTGCTTATTCAGCTTGTTTTCTTAACAGGCGCTCTACCATTTGAGCCATGTTCCAGCCTGGCTTTTTGCTGGTTAGTTTAGAGATATTATTTGCTACCTGGGCTGGCTTCAAACCATGATCCTCTGAATCTCGGCCTTCTGAGTAGCTAGGATTATAGGTGTGAGCCACTAGTACCTGGCTCAGTATTAACTATTCCTAAGTGTACAGTTCAATGATACTGAATACTTGGTATATAAATATGTGTGTATATATATACATATATATACATATGTTGTATTTTTACATATCTAAATGATCCTATAAGACTTAACTGATTAATTGTTCACTTTTAGTTGATGAAACATGTGCTCTGCCTGCAACCAAGATCAGCCGTGTAGAGGTGCACGCCACAGCAATGACGTTTTCTGTAAGTACATGGCCTGGTGACAGTGCATGTTACAGATGAAGATGTGCTTCTCTCTGCTGAGCAACTTCTAAAGAAGTCCATCCAAAGCTCCTAGGTTTCATTAGTAATGAGTTGATAATAAATGTAGAAATAAATGGCTGAATAGGAAAATGTTCATAATTAAATACTTCATGAAAAATTCTTGATAAAAAGTGCATGTTCCGGGGTCCCAGTTTTGATAAAAATATACATAATACATGTATTCTCACTCTCACATGAAATACATTACCTTTATGATCAGAAAATATGTGTATATGTACGCACATGTGTGTACATATATGTAAATTACTGGTCAGAAGTCAGATGTATTATAAATAGAACAGGAAAACTTTGCTGGCTCTTATTTCTAGCTGTTTTTAATGGAATATTGAAATAATTGATGGACATACTGGTAAGATGGCTTAATAGCTTCTAAGAGGTTATTTTATGGAAGGCCAAAGTTGATTTTCAGTGCACCAAACTTAACTGCTAGGAAAGTGCTTCACAGATACATCAAAATCATCTTAATTGGACAAATATAAGGATAATACACCTAAATCATCGTAACTAGATAATATAAGGATAATTCCTACATAGATATTTTTTGTTTTTCTTTAATGAGTCATTTTAATCACTGTCAGTAAGAATTTTTATTTGACCCCATGTTTACCTTTTAGAATTTCTAAGAATTGTCCATAGTTTTAATTTTCTTTCACTGTTTTGGATTTTGGCCATATATTTATCTTCATCAGCTTTTATCTTTCCAGAATGTTAAGTCTTACTCTTCTCAGGAAAGAATTATTTAAAGGAACCTTACTTTTCAATCTTATTTTGTGATACATCACCCAAAATAGTATTTGTTATTTCATTTGGAGCCAATTGTTTTAAAGTTGGTAGAGGGAGTTTTTAAAAACTTAAAAAATGAAGACAAGTTTAAAACTATTCCTTTTTAACTTTAAATTCTTCTAGTTAGTTCACTTTGTCATGTGTGATAGCCTAATAAAAAATGTGAATGATAAGCATGTACCTCTGCTGTTATATATTTAAGACAGAAATAAATAACTGAAGTGCACATTTGTTTTGAGCTTCTGGAAACAGTGTCTCATTTATAAGAAGATGGCTTAAAAAGGTTAGTTCCAGGGATAAGTATAATTCACTTATCACTAAAACTAGCTTAAGGTAGAGGAAGTGCATTTGTTTTTAAAGCAGGGTGAGACTGTAAAGCTGTTTAATCTACTCTTTTTAATATATACCGAAGTATATTCAAATTACATTTTAGTTTTGAAACATTTTTTCTCCTTTTAGGTTTGGAGAATCACAGGTATTGCAAGTACAAAAGATCTCTAAATTTCTAGTGGTTGTTTTTGAATCTAGAAGAAATCCAGCTTGGAATGAATTTTTCTTTCTTAGCTCCTTTTGGAGCAAGTTGTAATGTTTCATTTGGGATTACATTTTCTGAGAATCTCTTAAATGACAATGCTCTATAAAACAGCTGGCATTTTAACATGTCACTGATTGGAAAGCATGCTTACTCTAGCCAGGTTAATAGTACTGAGCGTGGAGAATGCCTATCAGTGTTTGAATTGGCATCCTTCACTGTCAGTTGACCTAATCTGTGAGGACTATTTACTTATGAGCTATTAATGTTATGTTATTCACCCATGTGTCTACTTATAGATCACTGCATGGATTTGTAGAATCTTGAAATTTCTCCTATGCTCAATAAGAATATTGATCAGTTTTTCTTTCTCTAAAATTAGAAAGAGACTCCCTCAAATCCAGTGGCCATGGTGAAAGCAGGAGAAAGACAGTGGTGTGATGTGGGAATTTTTAAAAATAATACAGCTTTGGTGAACCAGTTTTATTTGCTGCCAAAAGGGAAACAAAATATCTTAAAGGTAACTATTGATATATTTGCTACACTGAGACTTATAAACCTTCATAGCTAGGGTACTTGCTAACACAATGGTAACGCACTGGTCTAGCATATGTTCAATCCCTAGCACTATAATCTATCAGTAAGGTAACTGGGCTGAGAGTATCACTTAAGTGGTAGAGTGCTTTCCTAACAAAAACAAGGCACTATGTTAAAAAATCCTCAGTATCAGTGCAAGTGGCTCATGCCTGTAATCCTATCTACTCAAGAGGCTGAGATCTGAGGATCACAGTTCAAAGCCAACCAGGCAAGAAAGTCCATGAGACTCTTTTCTCCAATAAACCACCAGAAAACCAGAAGTGGTTCTGTGACTCAAGTGGTAGAGCACTAGCCTTGAGCTGAAGAGCTGAGGGACAGCATCCAGGCCCAGAGTTCAAGCCCCACAACTGTCAAAACAAAGCAAAACAAAAAACCTCAATATCACAGGAAAGAAGAAAAATAGATAAACTATAAACTTTAATTTTGTAATTGTGATTCATAGTATGTCAGTTGAACAAGGGAAACTGGATCTCTCCACAGTCTGTCCTTCAGAGTTGTGTGCATTTAGTTATCTTGTATTCATTATTAAGTTTTCTTTTCTAGAATGTATCAAAAGCATGTCATTTTAATAATTTTTTGGTGCTAGTCCTGGGGTTTGAATTTAGGGCCAAGGCACTCTTACCACTTAAGCCACAGCTCTACTTCAAGTTTTTTGGTGGATAATTGGAAATAAGAGTCTCATGGACTTTCCTGTCTGGACCTGGCCTTGAACCTTGATCTTCAGATCTCATCTTCCTGAGTAGCTAGGATTATAGGCATGAGCCACCTTGCCCATCTTAAAATCTCATACAGTGACTGATCTATCATAAAAATCTAATTTCTCCAGAAAAAATAAGTTGTTTTTTTTTAGAATGCCTGTGATCTAATGTGTATCTAGAGAAATGAAACATTTTTTCTTTTTTGTAGGTCATGAGGCTTGAACTCTGGGCCTGGGCACTATCCCTGAGCTCTTCAGCTCAAGGCTAGTGCTCTACCACTTGAGCCACAGTGCCACATTCAGTTTTCTAGAGGTTTATGGTAGATAAGAGTCTCATAGACTTAACTGCCTGGGCTGGCTTTGAACCGCGATCCTCAGATCTCAGCCTCCTGAGAAGCTAAGATTACAGGCGTGAGCCACTTGCGCCCGGCTACATTTTTTTCTTATTTATAAATATTTTTATTACTGTTTAAAGTTTAAAATAGAGACTATATGCTACTGAATAGTTTTGCTTTGCTTTTGAAGCCCCTTTAAATGACACTGTATGAGGCATTAACCTTTAAAGAACTGGGGAATAGAGAACATTTCTTTTTTTTATGAAATTCTTTTTTTCTTTTTTTTTCGTGGGGCCTGAACTCTGGGCCTGGGCGCTGTCCTTCAGCTCAAGGCTAGTGCTCTACCACTTGAGCTACGGTGCCACTTCCGGCTCTTTTCTTTTTGCATATGTGGTGCTGAGGAATCGAACCCAGGGCCTCATGCATGCAAGGCAAGCGCTCTACCACTGAGCCACCTTCCCAGCCCAATAGAGAACATTTCTAAAATATAGGTAACTTGTTTTTTCTTAGTTGAGGAAATTCTGAGAAGGAATTACCAAGGAAATAGATATTCGTTTGATTTTCCAAAAGATCTTCCCAGATGAAGAATATAAATTGAGCATGTATAGCCCCAAAATCTGAAATCCAGAATGCTGCAAAATCTGAAAACTTTTAGAGCACAGACATGATCTCCTTAATGGAAAATCCTACACTTGACCCATGTGACCTATCAAGGTCAAAACCCAGGTGCACTAAAAGTATTGTGTGGAAGCCATGCCTGAAATATAAATAATTTCCTACTTAGACTTGGGTCTTAAACCACTTATATTGCAAATAAACAGTGTTAAAAATAGCTCAGTATATTGGGGTATAGTGTAGGAATAAGGATTCCAACTGGAAAGGAACTCAGCAAGAAGACAAAGTTTACTGGTGCAGAAGGGTGTACCATCAGCCAAAAATCTGGCAAGCAAACACACAGAGCAGGCAGGCTATTCCCTTTTTATCCTTAACTCAGTAGGCCTTGTCCTCGGCTTGCATTTACTGAGCTCAGGTTCATCATCTGCAAAAGGATATGGCTTAATTAATAGGAATTCAACCTGCTTCTAACAAGAGATGGATATAACTAAAATGTAATTAACAAGGGCCAAGATACCTGACCAAAGCAGACACTTTTCAGAAAAACAATTTCCACAAGATTATCAGGAAGGAAGACAACTACACTGATAGAAAAGATGTTTTTCTCACAGCAGGCATTCCAAATCTCCCCAAATCTGAAATCCAAAACACCTCTGGTCCCAAGCATTCAGATAAGAGTTATCTAGCCTATATATCACTTATCATGTCCTTTTTTTTTTTTTGGGTCCGGTTGTGGG